TATGTATGTATATATATATATATATATATATATATATATATATATATATATATATATATATATGAATGGTAAAAAATATAGTTTGAAGATATGCTATGGCTATGTGTAAAAGTGCTCATTATCGGTGATAGAGCGTATATAAATGTAAAAGTGGACTGTGAGGCCAACAGCGAGCGGTGATAGTCTGTTTTATGGCATGAAGATTGCATTCAAACATGAAACATACTGTCAGCACTCGTTGTTGACCTCAGTATCGGCTTTTATATTTATTTAAAAATGACCCCCCCTGATTTCCATGCTTATTTTGAAGGCAGGCAAGCAAGTAGACCATCTTGAAAGATTACCGCAACACTATCTTTACTCTTCCAATTTCCTCGTATTTGTTCTTGTCCCGAACTAGTATATTTATTTTTAATGTAATATTATTTAATAATAAGTGTTGTTCTATTTTTAAAATATAAAAGATTCATTTTTCAAGACTCTCTCTCAAGTCTTTCTGTAAATGATACCATCCAAATGAACATCATCACGTGATCGACGCCCACCAAGAAAGGAAAAAGAAAGGCGGACCATCGATAAAGAAGCCATAATAAATAAATGTAAGTTCGTAAAAACTGCGAATCGAGCAGCAAAAGACCACATCGACAAGCGAAAATGGTTCAAAAATACAAGCGGGCTTGTTTACAGTTGATCCCTGTCTGCAATGTGCATGAGATAATTGCATATTTCCGCATCCATTTCGTCTAATTACCAACGCTTTAAATAAAGCCGCCTCAATAAAAGATCTGTCAATACCGCCAAACGCATTTTTAATATGGGTGTCCAGAAAACCTTTTAGCGTAGAGGAAGAGACAAACACATTATCTAGTGACTTTGATTGTGTGTCATGCAAGTTTAGAAACACGAGTAAATCCGTTATCGAATTGATAAGCTCGGCGTAGTTTTCTTACATTTCTTTACCAGTTTGACTTGGATCGCCTCACCGAGTAGCAATAGTTAACATGTTTCTCTCTCTCAGGCAATTAGTAATCGTACACATTCGTAGCCATGATCTAAGATTAGGAAATACATAGAGCTGCTGACCGTGGAGCGTTACTTCGTGAGCTCGTCTTACACAAATTCATTAAGTGGTAGTTTCTGCTGGAGATTCTTGGTATTTATTTACCGGAAATTTTGGAATAAAACGAATTGGGTAGAAGTCTATAAAATACAATAATATATTTTGATTTATTTGATTTAGAGTCCTTTGGCATTCGGTGTAACAAAACGTTCGTACGGTGGAGTAATGACTAGCTGCTTGGATTGACGAATCGGAGAGACGAGTTCGAATTCCAGTCAAATCCATTACATTCACTTACGTGCTAATACCCTTGGGAAAGGGGTTAACCCCCTTCTCCCCCCAGCTATGGGTAAATAGCTTTGGATGGCTACTGGTCTACTAGAAAAGAAATGGCAACTTTCTGCGGGGAAGAAAATCTGCCTCTTCAGTCATGTATCGAAAGATACATGATCGCCTAAACGTGTATCACGCAAGGCACATAAAGTCCGTTTCGGCTCGTTAGTGGTAGTTTTGAAATCAGACCATGCTAGGGCTAGTAGTAATATTATAATTAGGTCATTGTCAATCTTCTTTGTTTTTCTCATCTCTCAAAAGAGCAGAAAATAAAAGTAGCAAAAGACCTCTTAACTTCTTCACGCGTCACAATTGGCTGATTTCTCCGTGCTAGCGTTTTTCGTTCCGTCCTCTCTCTCCAGGTGTGAGCTTATATCATTTTGACCAGACTGGCGCGAACCTTAGTTTTGGCTCACATCAAAAGTCTCTTTGCGTTATTTTTTTTTTTTTTGATTGGCCAAAGTTATTTTATTTTCCGGCATTCCTTTCTTTTTTTATTTTTATAACGGAAGTTATGCCTGGAGTATCCCTGATTTTTGTTAGTTTTCAGCCACAAATTAGTAGGCTGTGATCCCACAACTTCCAGCGTTTTTAGGCCTGGTTCCGTCTTTTCTATTTCCCTTTTGAGAGAGATTATATAATACTTAACATTTGTTACTTTCTGCTAAGTTTAGTAAAAACCTGTTTGACGCTCCTACCGGTCTGATATATATATATATATATATATATATATATATATATATATATATATATTACATAGAATAAAAAATGTCAAGAGCTCTTCATATCTCTGAGCTGACAAGATCTACAAGTAAAAATATTGTAGGTCGAAATAGCTATTTTCGAATGAGGTAACTTTTGGATTTTTAATCTATGTAATTTATATGCTCTGTTATAATAAATACATTGATTTTTTTTTTGTGGATCATTTTTAATATTTTTATATTATTATCAGTTTTAATATTTTATATTATTATGATTCACTTGGATAATTTACCAACGGATTATATATATATATATATATATATATATATATATATATATATATATATATATGTGTGTGTGTGTGTGTGTGTGTGTGTGTGTGATTTATATGTGTGTGATTTATATATATATATATATATATATATATATATATTATTTATATATTATATATGCGCGGTACTTATTGGAAAGCGCTCAATATCAGTGATAGAGCTAACATACTAAGTTCAAGGGCGTGAAACCTAAGTTTACAAACTCACATAATATATATATATATATATATATATATATATATATATATATATATATATATGGTTTCGGTTCTCACCCGTCGAAGTGCAGTTGAAATGCACTGAAACGAAGTTGCATCTTTGTAGTGAGTAAAATGGTTTTGTCTATATGATAAAATTATAATAAATAAATAATTATCGCTCCACTATCGGTATCGAACCTTCTTTTGGATTAATGCTGTGAACGTTAGAATTTATATATTATTTTCGTTCTCATCGCATCGGATATGTGACGTGGCTGCTCCAGGCTCCGATCCCATGGTCACGGCACCAGATGACGTCGTCCCCGGTCGCAGCGCCAACTGTGACGTTCTATCCTGATCTACCACGGCGCCAGTTGTGACGTGGCCGTTCCAGGGTCCTATCCCGGTCACGACACCAGTTGTGACGTCCCTAAACAGCACCAACCAGACGTCTTCGCCGCGGCGCCAGCTGTTCGCTCCTCGCTGCTCCGTCCGGGTGTCGCTGCTCCAAACGTGACGTCCGCCTGTCGCGTCAGTCGTGTTGTCTCGTCCTGTGACGACCAACTGGCTTGGTATCGGTCGCGGCACCCAAATGTGACGTTCTAACCTTTTGGTGATTCGGGTGGGAATCTGGTTAGATTTGATATCAGCCTCGCCGTTCCCAACTCGCTTCCAACGCCTGGTTACCAAGGTAACTGCACTGACCTCCAGTCTACCTACCCACGTTGTGAATTGATCTTAGACAGACGAGATCAAACAGTGGTTGGGGCCGTAATGCAAATTGAGTTCAACGGGGGTGATAACACACAAATATGCATACAAGAAAATAAAATGAAAACTCAAAAAGTTCAAAGTATCAAAGAAAAAGGTAACAAACTTTATGTCTAGTTGTTCGATACATAGGACTGCATCTATCTTGCTCTCTAAGAAATTTGTGTTTCGGTGTGTCTCTGGACGAAAGTCGAAAAACTTATTTCGGTGGTCTGGTCCTAAGTTGCTCTTCAAAATAATTGTTCTTGGTTGAAGAGGAGTCCAAAATTTTGCGTGAATCTTGGTCAGCTATCTTGAGGCGGCTTCAACTCTGGAAACTGGAGCTCGAACTGATTTCTGCCTGTTGGGGCCTGGCTTTTATTGACGCCGACAAAAACCGGGTTGGGTCTGTTGGCGTCGCGGAGTTCCTCGATAATTCTAAATACATATCCACCTCTTTTATTTCTGGTTAGGAATTTTCCACTCTTTTCCATTTTTGGTAACTTTTTTTTTCACTCCCACTTTCTCACCATGCTTCTGAGGGTCGTGAACTGCCCTCCCCACTTCTTCGTAGCGGCTTCTCATACTTATACTCTGGATGGGGGCGTCGACAGCCTTCTTCGTGCGTCAGAAAGGCCAGAGCGTACAACGGCCGAAACGTTGTAATAAATATGGCGGCAAAGATGAGGACAATAGTCAGAATAATGTAAATAGTGTAAATAATACCTCATCTCAGATAAAAGTATATATTAATGGGTTAAAGTGCCCAATATCAAGAATAGAGCGTATATAAATAGAAACGTATATAAATATAAAAGTGGACACTGATGTCAACACCCAGTGGCTACATGCTTAAACGCAATCGTCAGGCAATGTGCGTTCTGTTTTGGCTTGACTAGTCGATTACGTTTAAGCACGGAACAGACTGTTTTGGCAAAGATGAGGACACTAGTCCGAATAATGTAGTGTATATTTTTTATCATACACATACATAAGAAAAACAACAGGAAAACTTTTTATGCCAACGCGTTTAGTTTCTTAAGGAACTTTAAAAGTTATTTGTATTTTTCGACCGAAGTAACGTGGATCAAAAATAACCTTACGTTTTCAAATTTTGAATTACAAAAAGCTCTAAGATATTCTAAAAACTTACTGCATAAAGAACGGTATATTATGGATGACGCTAAGTGATGTAAATCTTTCTGCCAATAATGCAACGATAAAGCTCTGGAGATTGATGTGGATATATTTGGTCAAGAGTCGTGCGACAATGGGAGATGCTCATTCGGGTTGGGTGCAGTGATTTTGAATGGAAGCGGGTGGAGCATGGTGCATTGAAGCACTCACCCTGAGCGCACAAGACACAAGCACACACGGTGACAGCAGACATCTGACAGGAACTGGAGGGTAATATGCGTGAACGCATTCTTCTCTCGAGAACAGGTTTGGTAAATCCCTTAAAGTCACATGAGTCAAGAAAAATATCAAGCAGCATGTCCACCAGTGACCAACCATGTGGTTTAGTGGTTTAACGAAACATTTCAAAATACATAGGGTCGTATTTCCACCAATAGCCTCGAAAGATGGACAGTTCAAGTATTACATCTGTAAACGATAATTCTAGGTCTGGGACGAAGAGTAATATATGTGCAAATCGCGGTGATTAAGGAAGAGATAGCGCTCTTCTGGCAAGAGAATGCAATCATCATCATCTCTCTCTCTTTCTTTAGATAGATAGATAGATAGATAGATAGATAGATAGATAGATAGATAATGAACTGACTGGGATAGATAGATAGATAGATAGATAGATAGATAGATATTAAGAAGATCAATACAAATACAATTTGCCTAATGTGTGATTTGTACGATTTTACTTTTAATTCTAAATAAAATATTTATGTCAAAAATAGATTCTATTCTGTTTTACATTTTTAAATGTATTTACACTGGGATGTAATGTAAAATCTATCCTGGATGAAAAAAATTATATATTTTTGTTTGTCTGTGTCAAAATTTCGCTCTCATGGATGTAGGGTGCATCAGGTTCAGGAGGGTCGGGTGTAACACAGGCTGTCATGTCGTCACACTTTTTTTTTCCGTAGGGCCTAAGGATCAAAGTGACTACTTACATCGAGAGGCTACACACAGACCTCGACTGAAGGGTTGACTGTCCCTGCAGATCTTTGCTCCGTACTATACAGCACATAAAACCTAAGAATAACTCAGAGAGACCTAGTACGATTATGTCACTTAACACGTAATCTCGTAGCTTTCCTTAATTCTCTTAATCTAGTACATCTAGAGCGTTGTCAGCCGGAAGATCAACGGTCCCACAATTACAAAGACTTGCTGAATGTGATGGCAATATGATAGAGAACCACCTGATCTAGATATATACTCGCTTCCTGGACTGCATTGAGGCTGCCATTGAAGGCGAGGGCCGTTTTATTGAATACCTGCGACTCTTTTTTTAAAGTTTAACACATGTACAAATATTTTGGAAAATATACTGTTTTTTTTTTTTGTTCTCAATTACCTGGCGCAACCTGGATATCTTGTTTGTAAATACTTATTTCGAAAAAAAAATCTTTTAACTTTTAATTCAGATTTTGTTTTTTGTTTTTTTCTTCCTAACTCTCCGCCCACCCGCCCTCTGGATGAGAGCATGATTAATATGACACTTTTCAGTTACCAGTTGTAAGTTTTATAAAAGAAAAATGCAAGCGGTTGCACATGTATTTATTCGCAACAGAATGGCTTCAGAGAAATAAAAATGTCAGCAATATATTTTCAACCCTTCACAAAGGAAAGGTTTTACAGGAATAAAAATGTCATGGCAGGCTTGCATCTGCACGTATGCGTGTCTGGTAAGAGGCGGCATCATCACCCAACCGCACTTCCCAACACCCACTCACCCCGAAAAAAGCTAAGAAAAGAGAATTTACGAATCAAGTACGTCTTTAATTATCCTGCCATCATTCTTAATTTAACCAATAACATCAAAAACACTTTCTGTCATTTTTTAATAACCTGTTACTTCCGTGTACGTAAGAAAGAAAGAAAGAAAGAAAGAAAGAAAGAAAGGGTCTACAGCTGCAGCTACGTTATAAACTTGGTGCCACAAATCAATTGTATGCAATGTTTAATGACTTATCAGTGCTTAGCGTAACTTTATCGACGCAACATAACAAAGGATTAAAGAAAAGACAAAAGCAGTATCAACTTCTTCCCCCTACTTGGACGAGATATGTCACAAGGTCTTTTTTATGTGGCGACCCAGGCGCTTACGCCCGGAACAAGGACAAAAATTGCCCTAAGCCTCCGCAACCGTCGGTTGTGATGGCCTCGGTGCGAGCACCAATTTCTCCCTCTGGTGCAATGGGAGGGCGCGGCCTCGGGCAGATGTTCCCCGGAGCTGGGCACCTCTTCAGTATAATTTTCTCAGTTGACCCTCTGTCCTTTGACAGAGAAGCCCCTGAGTGCACTCCGTCCAAATTGAGAGATGATAAGCCATGCGAAATCCCTCCACGGAGGAATTTACGCGCTTAAAAAAAGATGAAGCAGTTTCGGGAAATCCTGTCTGAGTCATTCATGAGATTCTCTGTAGAACAAAAACAACGATTATTTGTTTGTCAATTGTGAATCAATTCGCAAATCGTCTGTCTGTCAAGCCTGATGCATTAATATTATTTTCCCTTAAATTTCGGAAAATTTAAATTAAACCTTCATGATTTCATATCTTAGTTTGAAACTATTTTACGACCTTAGAGACTGTGCCAAGTTAGCCATATATTGTTTAAAATTTACTATATTTATATTGTGGAGTGATCAAAATCAGAGAGAGTGTTTATAGATATAGACAGTGTGGACATAAGAATTTCTCGATATTGTAAATTCTAACTTGATTATATATAGGCTGGCTGTAACCTAAAAAAGCAAACTAACTCAATGAATGTCAATATGTTTATTGTTATAAAAACTGAAACTGTTTCATATCAATTGGTAGTTGTTGCTATTGATTCAAATGAGACACATGCATTGAGGACGTTGTATCAAACTTATCAATAACTGGAAAAATCGTATTCGATCGCAGCAACATTAAAAGTTCTTCATTGGTGTCGTCCAACGGTCATGGAATTTGACCATGAAAAATTATCCTAGCGTAATCCGTTTCCTCTATTTCGAAGCCTTCATGTCTAACATTTATTTGTTCCATCACAAAGAGTGCATAGATTAAAGACAAGGATTCCTTATACATTTGATTCTCTTGTACTGTTTGAACTGCTAAATGACTGTACAAAATCTTGTATATTTAGATAGATAGATAGATAGATAGATAGATAGATAGATAGATAGATAGATATTAACAGAATGTGAGAGATATTCACATAGATATGAAAGTGTATATAAATTGAGAAGACAACAGAATGATGATTGTTGTTTATGGACTTAATCACAAAAGAATATGGCTGAAGGTTCGATCTCAGTGAGGTTCTCTGATAGCCTAATCTAATATAAGACTAGAATAAATTTCGTATTCATCATCGTATATTTGAGACTTTTACCTATCACGGTGCATGCGTATTCTCTCAAGGAAATTCGTTGTCTTGATCGTCTATTGGGACTCAAGTTCACTTCAGACCTCAAGTGGAACTCACATATACGATCCATCGCTAAAGATGCTGGAAAAAGGGTCGGTTCTTTTACGGTTCCAGAAAGTACCTGACTCCTCTAACCATGCTCTATATTTACGAGAGTCAGATCAAATTGAAAATGGAATATTGCTGCCCTATCTTCGCTGATGATAAGTTCAAACTATCTATATCTGAAAGAGTTCAAACGTTTCGACGTGGCCCTGTGAGTGATGAATTATTTTCCATCTTGCAAACCATTTCCCACATAAGAAGTGCTGTTTTCCATAGAAAATATTCTGACAAGCTAGATTTCTTGATAACACCAGTCCAAGACTTTAAAACAAAGACACACCATGTCACGTATACAGGGCTGAATCAATCTTATTCTCTTCGTTTTGCATTAGCAAGAAGGAAGGTCCATTTGGACAGCTTCTTCTCAATAACTGGTACATTATGGTACAGACTCCAGAGAGGGTGCTTCCTCGGTCACTACAATCTTATCCTCTTCAAGTCTAGGAGAAACGCTCTATCTTCAGTGGCTCTTCGGCCTTGTATCGAGTGAACGACGGTAAAAAAAAACTCTCCAAAACTTGATCTGAAATGTGAAACTAACAGCCACTCGTGTAAATTCCTATATCCATAATATATACGTATATATGGTTGGTTGAGTGTTCTTTAATTTGTTACCGCTAACTTCGGGATTAATGCACTAATAATGTTATAAATACTAAAACTACACGAGTAAGACACAGTGATAAACCGATCTCTCATGTGATCTAGCTTTAACAGCTCAATGGGGAAATATCCAGCTTGTTTCCTCAAAAATCAAGCAAATATCGTTTCATCACTGTTTAAAACCCGAGTTTTCTCCATTCACGGTGAACGGTTCGACTTCCAAAGAGGCTCCATTCTTTGAACGTTGATTGGATGTCAAGTTCACCTTAAGCCTCAAATGGAACTCATCTATCGCAAAAGACACTGGATAAATGGCCGGTTAACCATATAACTCTATGAAGTATACGAAACCCTCTGCCATGTTGTACCTTTACAAGACTCAGATTCGGTTTTAAAAAAATGGAATATTTCTGTCATATTTGGGCTGACGCTGCTCAGTCCTTACTTCCCGGTCTTGAGAGACTTAAAAGTCGCTTACAAGTTCTTGTGACGGAAGAGGCTTATTTTGCACTCAGAAAACAATTTTCCATAGGGCAACGTTGCAAGCCTATCGCTATTTCGATGGCAAATGTTCAAAAGATCTCCATGCTTCAGTTCCATCAATTCAGAGCTTTACTGCTAGGACCCGACACACTATTTTCAGGGAGTCGAATCACTCTTATTTCCCCGTATTCCCAATGTAAGAAGGAAATTCCATATTGACAGCTTTTTCCCCAAGAACTGTCATTTTGTGGAACGACTCCATAAATACTTCTGATCACTTACATTCAAGGGCAAATCGTTATCTATCTTCCTGAGCATCATCAGCCCAACTCACACATTTCTATTTCGACTAAAATTCTCCGCATTGAGAGGCACTCGAGTTTTGTATTGAGTGATATTCGGAAAAGTAATGTATGCAAAAGATACGAATAAGGCACAATGGATTATTATCTAATAATATGAATTCATGAAAGATACGTATAATAACACACGGTGTATTATTATTTAATATCGTTGTAAATTTATACAGAGGATAAGAAAATAAGATTGACATTATTAACTAATAATATTATAAATGCATAAAACTGATGGGGAGGAAATAATAATATTTAATATTCAAGCAAAATATATGATAACTGTGTATATATATATATATATATATATATATATATATATATATAATAAACTGTGGATTATCTAATAATGTTCTGAACGCATACAAACGTTATAAACAATGAAACATTAAGGATCATTATTGTTATACTCCGTTGCAACTAAATCTCTTTCTGATTCATTGTACATGCTGGCCGGATGAGAGCGCCATGAAGACAGAGAACGAAAAAAAATTAGGCTCCACGCATCACGTCCGATCTACCAAACAAACTCCATAGCTGGAAGGAGAAGAAGAGGATTAATACCTTTCCCAAGGGTATTACCACGTAAGTGAATGTAATGGATTCGACTGGAATATATATATATATATATATATATATATATATATATTAAAGACATTTTATTTATGTTTAACGTTGTTATTTTATAGATACAAGTATTTAAGCAAATGCTCTGTTTATGATAAACAGTATTAAATAACATTTACTGGCCTGAATGTCTGGAGAAATTTCATAGAAAATATTCGTTCATAGACAGGATTCGAACCTGCATCCTATACGGAACCGCCATATACGCTGGCGTGCCTTGACCATCGGCCACCATGAACCTTATGGTAGATAAGGTCGAATTTACTGTTATAAATTTACAATCTTCCATGAATCTCGTACATTCATAACTGCTCTGGCGTATCGAATGTAAAAACAAAATGACATTTGTTTAAATCTTGTATCTACCGCCAAAAATAACAACGTTAAACATAAATAAAAATGTCTTTAATAAATAAATTGTTATTTTATCGTCCATTTTTAACATATGACGTCATTTGTTTACATTCGATACGCCAGAGCAGTTATGAATGTACGAGATTCATGGAAGATTGTAGTTTATAACAGTAAATTGACCTTGTCTACCATAAGGTTCATGGTGGCGTGAGTGGTCAAGGCACGCCAGCGTATATGGCGGTTCCTTATAGGATGCAGGTTCGAATTTGCTGTCTATGAACGAATATTTTCTATGAAAATTTCTCGACATTCAGGCCGGTAAATGTTATTTAATACTGTTTATCATAAACAGAGCATTTGCTTAAATACTTGTATCTATAAAATTAACAACGTTAAACATAAATAAAAATGTCTTTAATAAATAAATTGTCGGACCTCGTCCATTTCTTAACATATGACGTCATTTGTTTACATTCGATACGCTAGAGCAGTTATGAATGTACGAGATTCATGGAAGATTGTAGTTTATAACAGTAAATTCGACCTTGTCTACCATAAGGTTCATGGTGGCCGAGTGGTCAAGGCACGCCAGCGTATATGGCGGTTCCGTATAGGATGCAGGTTCGAATCCTGTCTATGAACGAATATTTTCTATGAAAATTTCTCGGACATTCAGGCCGGTAAATGTTATTTAATACTGTTTATCATAAACAGAGCATTTGCTTAAATACTTGTATCTATAAAAATAACAACGTTAAACATAATAAAAAATGTCTTTAATAAATAAATTGTCGGACCTCGTCCATTTCTTAACATATGACGTCATTTGTTTACATTCGATACGCCAGAGCAGTTATGAATGTACGAGATTCATGGAAGATTGTAGTTTATAACAGTAAATTCGACCTTGTCTACCATAAGGTTCATGGTGGCCGAGTGGTCAAGGCACGCCAGCGTATATGGCGGTTCCGTATAGGATGCAGGTTCGAATCCTGTCTATGAACGAATATTTTCTATGAAAATTTCTCGGACATTCAGGCCGGTAAATGTTATTTAATACTGTTTATCATAAACAGAGCATTTGCTTAAATACTTGTATCTATAAAAATAACAACGTTAAACATAAATAAAATGTCTTTAATAAATAAATTGTCGGACCTCGTCCATTTCTTAACATATGACGTCATTTGTTTACATTCGATACGCCAGAGCAGTTATGAATGTACGAGATTCATGGAAGATTGTAGTTTATAACAGTAAATTCGACCTTGTCTACCATAAGGTTCATGGTGGCCGAGTGGTCAAGGCACGCCAGCGTATATGGCGGTTCCGTATAGGATGCAGGTTCGAATCCTGTCTATGAACGAATATTTTCTATGAAAATTTCTCGGACATTCAGGCCGGTAAATGTTATTTAATACTGTTTATCATAAACAGAGCATTTGCTTAAATACTTGTATCTATAAAAATAACAACGTTAAACATAAATAAAAATGTCTTTAATAAATAAATTGTCGGACCTCGTCCATTTCTTAACATATATATATATATATATATATATATATATATATATATTCATACATGTTTCATTAAATAATATAGACAAGTGTTGTCTATTTTATGTAAATTCTTTTCATAACGTCTGATAAGCACAATATTGATGCATTTTTTTTTTAATCCAATCTAAGCTTTCGGCTTACATAAGCCATTGTCAAAGATGACAATTACTGTACAATATATTAAGCAATACAAGGAGAAGAATGTGATGATAGTCTGTTTCTGTTTACATGGATGATTTCCAAGCAACGATAAACACGTTCATATAAGATGCTGGAAGCGAAAATCGCACCGCAGCTCATGACGTCACATATGACCACGCGAGAGTGAATTCGATAAGTATTAAGTATGGGAAGCCGTTGGTATAATTAGGTTTCAACTGTTTAAACTGTTGAAACCTAACCTAAACAAAATAAACTATGAAATCTCCACAAATATCATTAAATGTCTATAATTGGTAACAGAAGCCATTGCTTTTATATATTGTACAGTAATTGTCATCTTTGATAATGAATTGGATTTAAAAAAATGCATCAATATTGTGATTTTCTTTCTTCATTTACTGATAATGTTATTAAGCTTATCAGATGTTATGAAAAAAATTTACATAAAATAAATAGACAACTCTTGTCTATATTATTTAATGAAACGTATGAATGAAAAAAATGCTGCCTATATATACACATATATATATATATATATATATATATATATATATATATATATATATATATATATATTCACAGACTGTTTCGCTGTATCACAGCTCATCAGTGTGGCTAGACACCTGATTGCTTCATGCTGGGATCGAAACTCGACCGATTTGACATCAGTCAGAGACACTTAGAGACCCTAGGCTATCGGCGCACAGCAGAGAAAGGGAATTTCTTAACACATTATATACGTGATATATATAAACGCTAATGCGGACGCCATAGCGCTCAATTCTTACGAAGAGCGATATATATAAGATCATCTACCCTTGACAGGTCTTGTTTTTCGTCCTGTGAGATAACATGCGACCCTCCTCACCAACAGAAAAGCTAGTGGGGCAGCTAGTTTAGATGCCAACCACCGGTTCATGCAACAGGTTGTACTGGGTTACACGTTACCAGTAGCAGACCTAAATCTGACTTAACCCAGCAATATTGGTAAAACATTCAGGATATACTTATATTTACATTAGTCATATACTAGTAGAATTTTAACTTGTAATGTCTACCCTTCTTGCAAAAAAAATACCTGTTTTGGGGGGTTCAGGTTTTATTATGCAAACAAAGGCCAATATACATTTTTATTTATACATAAATCCCCAAAATATAAAAATATATTGGATTAACACAATATCTTATATGTCGAATAAATTAACGAATAAATTATCATTGCATTATTTTATGATAATATTGGTTACTTGACATTCTCTTAGATTTTTTCATTCATCGATTTTCTTAGCTTTTCTACTATTTAAATTTTAATATTACTTGCAGCGTTTCGACTTGGATTAATAGCGGGAGAGACTATGAGCCATTGTATTAATTTAGCGTTTTTGTAAAGGTTTTTGACAATGTGTGCATTGGTCATCATTGCACGATGCGAAGGAGTATTGCATGAATCCACTTTTCAGCCTAAAGTTTCTTGTTTGTGACTTATAATACTAAATAGGTTTTGTCCTTGAACTTACAATTGTATTGTTACCATCATCATCTTTGAAAAGGACTGATAATTTTAGTGCTTACAGTACTAGCCCAAAACGTTACTAAACCCCCTTACTGCTGTCTTCTAAGCCAGTGGTCGTTTGGCTGTTTTACTCTCCGACCTTCTTTTGTCATAGTTCAACCTTTGGGTTAGAGACACGTGACATCGCAAGGACAAATTAAGTAGAAAGAATTGGCTGATACAAGATTTTCTCTAATATGGGAAGCGGAATGAAAATATTACGATTTATTTCGAAATTCCTGAAACCAATTTCGACAAATACTTGAAGAAGGCTGAAGAGTGCAACGGTAGATATGTTTTGACTCTAACAACCAAAACAGATACACTAGTCATTGTAGATCAGTTTATTATAATAATAATAAATTTTAGTAGGTTTTTATAATTTTGGCAGAACTTAGTAAAATACAAATGAATGCAATAGCAATTGGCTGTCTAGAGTTAGGTTGATTAAAATCAAGGAAGAAAAAAGGCACACCAGCGATCTGAGAGAGAATAATAGAACGAACCAAAGAATTTTGTGCTATTGTATATTAATGGGAAAAGCGGTTGAAACATAGAGATTGATTGATGGAGATTGTCCATGTTCATTGAACCGTCAGCAAACCTCCCAGTAAACTTGGTTCGAGTTGTAATTCATCCAGACAGCAGTAACTCCAGTTACTTCTGACATGTATGACTGTTACATTCTAGTGATAGAGTATGACCTGTTGACAGCTGTTCTCACCTAATAAAAGAGGCATATTGCGGGAAAAGAAGGCGATATCGACATTATATTGGGAAAATTTTCTATCGTTTACTATGAATAGAATACGGCTGTGCGCATTATTCTTGGCTGTGAATTTCTGCAAATGCTGAGTTGTCATTTGATATTTTCTAGAAACTAATCGCTTCATCTGTTGGTTGAAATGTTTAAAAAGAGGTAGCTGATAGTAACCCATTTTTTATGGGTTTATACTTTGGCTTATAAGGACTAGTGTAAGACAAGTGTTAACTTTGTAGTGCTAAAAAAAAAACAGTCAGCCTAGACATACGATGCATCACCCGTCATAATATATGTCTATTAGCGGCAAGTAAGACTTGTCGATTTTATCACAGACGGGAAATGATTCTTGATAAGGATTTCCATATTCAAATAAATTAGGAAAAATATCTTACGAAATTTTCAGTTTTATGAAATTTTGACATATTAGTTTTAAACTTCAACAGTTGTATAACAGCCACCTTCCAAGGCTCGTCCTGGGCATGACGATAAACTACATCCGCGTCCTGGGTATGACGATAAACTACATCCGCGTCCTGGGTAAGACGATATAAACAGCACGGCCTCTGATCAGGAGGTTTTGAGGAGCATGAAACCAACTCTTAATTGCCGGTGTTCACAGCTCCACCCTGACCCGGGGTGGTAGCCCCTGTTAGGGTCCCAGCTATGGGCAAATAGTTAACACTCAGACTACATCCGCATCATGGGTAAGACGATAAACTACGTCCAAGAGCAAGGTCTCTGATCATACGTTTTTGAAAAAATAATGTTGTCAGCTGTACGTTTTTGAAAAAATAATATTACCAGCTATACGTTTTCTTTTGTTTTTTTGTTCATTTGGTTTTTTTTTGAAAAAATAGGGTTGTCGGCTATACGTTTTTAAAATATAATATTACCAGCTATACGTTTTGAAAAAATAATAATATTACCAGCTATACGTTTCTGAAAAAAATAATACTACCAGCTATATACTTTTGAGGAAAAAATATTAACAGAAATAAATTTTTGACAAAACAAAAATAATATTACCAGGGAAAAAAAAAGTTGTCGGCATTAAATGACGCATTAAGGTTGATATACCGTAAAACAAACTAAACCAAACCAAACCTTCCAAGGTTAAGTTGGAGAACAGCCACATGTCAATTCAAAAAAAGTTGGGGAACGACCATTTACCATGTCTACAAAGGTTGATAACTACCTGTCAAGTCTACAAAGTTGGTGAACCACAACCTGTGAAGACTACAAAATTGGAGAAGTGTCACATGTCAAGTCATACAAAGTTGGAGAACGACCACCTGTCAAGTGAACAAAATTGAAAAAAGACCACCTCTCATATCTACAAAGTTGAAGAACAAACTCCTCCCAGTCTACAAAGATGGAGAATGTCTACATGCCAAGAACACCCTAAATATTTTCCAGGCAAAAGAAACAAATATGGAGTACCATCGACAGGATAGAGTTTATCTGAATCTACTTTGTCCATAAATATGAATGAACACCATTAGTAAAATCTCATCCAGGAGGGCTACTCAGCAACTTCTTCACACGTCCATATAACATCATGGACAACCTTCAAAAGCGGGACTACACTTCGCAGATATCTCTCCCGAGTAAGACCCCCCCATAGAGGAGAACATGACTAAAGACTGTGCGTATGTTATCCCGTGCACCCTGCGAAAGAAATATAAAGGGGGAACAGGCCGCCCCCTTAAGGTAAGGCTTCAAAAACACCAGAAAGCTGTAACACGAGTGGATGTGGAAAAATCAGGCGTGGCTAACCACATATGGAGAGAAAAGGGAGATCACCGCCTTATGTGGGATCAAGCTGAGATCATAGACAAAGAACATTGGAAAATTCGTAAACTTAATGAATCAGCAGATATGCTAGGCCATAAAAATCTCCTGAGCCGACCAAGCATAGAAATGAATACAATATGGGAACCAGTAATAAGGAGTGCCAGAGAAAAGCGATAATAACAACAAAAATTGCAATATGAGCTCTGTTAAAAAAAAAAAAACTTGCAATGATAACAGAAAAAATTGCAATATAAGCACTGGTAAAAATGGTTGCTTAAGACATTAGGTTTATAATACCCAGAAATTCATACACAGATGTCCTCAAGGACCCATGGCACAGGGGATAAAGGCGTTAGTTAGAACCAGTGACAGGACCCAAAGGGTATGAGTTCAATGGTTAAGGCAGTGGAGAACTTGGAGAGGGGAATTAACAGGAGATTAACTGATAACTGAAATCCATTTCACATGGCACGTGGAACTAGAACAGTCTACCCCAGTGAGCGAAATAAAGGGTTCAGTTCGACATTCCAACCATCTGAAGAAGGCCGGAGCGTACAACGGCCGAAACGTTGTGATAAACATGGCGGCAAAGATGAGAAGAATAGTCCGAATAATGTAAATAGTGTACATAATACCTCATCTCACAAATATAGACAGATTCTTTACACGGGTTTCTAAGAAAAACAGGCTTGTTCATATTGACACCTCTATTACTCACCCGTACGAAACTCTTCTCACCAACTTCTCATTTTTTCAATTCATCAGCATCTAACAATGTGAACTTACGTAATAACAAATTTATTCATATACGAGCTTCTTTATTCACTTTCATTTTAACCCGCTATAAGTTTAACAAGTAATAATAAATCTATCATTTCTCCACAAGCTCCATGTTGATAAGCATAACCAATACTTTTTACTTCGTTGATATTAACATTTCAATGTCGCAGTGCCACATCAAGAGACAACCATCAGCAACCATAAAAAAACATTCTATTGGCTAACGACAATCCCGGTGTCTCCTGGTGATCTGGAAGTATAGAAGTTCATAACCTCAAAAGTAGCCAACACCAAACCTGTTGTTCGCTATTCTACCTCTCGATATGACCTTGCAATTACAATTACTACCAATTATTGAAATTATGAATTTCAAGAACTCCATATATAAAAATCGCTAACACACAAAATGCTAACCTGTTAGCACATGGGAAGGAGGGTGGGGAATATATTAAAAAACAATTATTTCATTGTTAAAACATCTTTAAAGTCATTTAGTATTTGGTTGAATATTTTCCTTTAAGGTCCAAACTTTCAAAGTGAAATGATTTTGATTCTAATCTTTGTAGAAGTCAATAAAAGTTAAAAGGAAAAGTGTCATGCTCGCCATCACTTGATAAAGAAATAAAATGCTCTAAATTCGAAGAAATTACTATTAAATCATCTAAAACTAATAATCGAAGCAAATAGATTTTACAAGTAGCCTTTAACCGTAAGGTCGAAATATTTCGTTTAATATATGCTTTCGCAAATAAAATAGCTCATTAATAATCAAAATATTAAAACCTTGCCAGTTAGTTGGATGTTAACTCTTTCCGGTTGGGCTGGCCACACGCTTTTGTTTCCTGCCGAATCTAATAAAACTAATTAGAGGGATTTTCACTATTGAATAAGCACTTGCTGTTTCCATGTAGCAGCAGTATGCTTCAAAATTAATTATTTATTTGGAGTTTTTTTTTTTTATCGACAGAAGATCGGATTTATTACTTAAATATAATCCTAGCAGAATAAACATTTGTGATGTAATGGATGATGATAACCGAATGGCGGACATAGAGGGGCGATAGGAATGGTTCGCCATTTTTTTTTTTTTTTTAGAGGTGGATGTCCTTTAGGGATTTAATATAACTAGTTTTAACCCATGAAAATTTCATGGTTTTCCTATTTTAATACTCTGTTGAATCTTAATTCGTAAGATCGAGTAAGCTCATGGCGAGTTCTACGACGATAAAATATCTGCAGAAACTCTTCTATCGCATCGTTAAATATTTGAGTTTAACATCTTTAAGAAAACATTGCAACAACATTCATAAATATGAATGCTGGTCGTTATTTTAAGAAGTAAGGGGATACAAATGAACAGATTTGAAATTGACAACTTTTTCATTTCACTGGAACAGGCCTTCTTCCATCATTTTTTTTACTGAAACCAAGTAGTATCTTTTCCCCTCTTTCCACGCGATCAAAACGGAATAGTCCTTTATTTATAAGGTATTGGCATGGCGTAACGGTCGTGCTAAGTAACGAAGGGAGAGACAAGCACAATTAAAACAAGATGATGCAACATGCAAAATTAGTTATGCCTTTTCTCTCATTTCACTTGTGTCATTTTTTTTTCTCACCTAAATTCACTTTATGGTTGACTAACACTTTGAGAGTTAGACTATAAATCAATGACCGTTAGGGGATTTCTTTTTCATACGGACTATATTGTTAATGCAATAATATGTTATCCTAGATATTGTTAATCTTTTTTTTTTTTCTAAATGATTTTCCATCTTGCTATTTTTGTTCTTGTCGCTGTTTTTTATGTCTGCAAACAAAACAAAATAATTTGTAATCTTTCTTTATATTTTGTAGATGCTGTTCACTTTTGACATATTACTTAAAGCGGTGACAAATTCTATGATCGCCACGTCTGGCACAAGCACTGGCGGATCCCACTGGATTAACTCGAAGATTGTGTAGATAACTCACAAATTGTGTTTAAATCTAAATTACCTTAAAACTGGCAAAATTTAGAAATAAATTCAGTCTGAAAAGAGTTAAATGTCGCTTTCTTAAAATGTTGCAGATTCTACAAAAATTCTAACAGGAAATATCACTTGTATATGACGCAATTTATACGCACCCCTTCTATACAATACTATACAATCTTCAGTTTAAATTTTCCCACTGTTGTTCATACGGTTAATATTAGTGATGAAGAGAGCAGTTGATGGGTCATTACTCAGAACATTTTATTCAATGGGATAAATTTAATTCACAATAAGAATTTCTTAATTAAAGCCGCTCCATTAATGAGCGCGCCTACATTGGATGAATTCGCGTTCAATTAGCCAACCTGAGCACGAGCGGGTGGCTTTTCAACCCGACACCTTCGATGTAGTGGTCACGTGCCTTGTTCCTCCCCGACCCCGCAACTTGACAATTAAAAAAAAAATGCTTTATTTAATTACGAGGGAATTTTTTTTATTTTTTTATTTTCTAGTTTTTCCATCCAGTTTTATTGGAGAAAATTTTAATTGT